AACATCTCTGTCTCAGGCTTGCTGCAGTGTTCCAGTGAAGCTCAGCACAAGCTGGAAGAACAACACCTCATTTTCCGCTTGGGGACCCTGCAGCCCTCCGGACTCAATATTGAGTTCAATAACTTTAGGGCCTGAACTCTCCCATGTCCCAGCCCCCTACCCCACACACCAGGCCTTGTTACCACATAGCCTGCCATTTCACACTACCTATTGTTATTCACTAACAGTCCCCATAAACAGCTATTCACCCTCCCAGCCAGATTGTTACCCACTCCTTTGTCTGTCCAACTGCTCTTCTCTCTCTTTGGGCTCTATCCCCACCTACTATTTACTCCTTACCCCTCCCCCCACCCTATCTTCTGCATATGAACCGTTTTCCTAGCTACCATCAGTTCTGAGGAAGGGTCACCAGACCCAAAACATTCATTCTGATTTCTCTTCACAGATGCTGCCAGACCTGCTGAGCTTTTCCAGCAACTTTTGTTTTTGTTTTTGATTTACAGCATCCACAGTTCTTTTGGTTCTCATGAGGTAATCATCTGGATCCATTTAGTTTGCATCATTCACAGCCCTGTCTTGCTTGTTCACAATGGAGAGTTGAAAACAAACTTTAATGTTCTAGTAAAATAAAATGGCAGGAACACAGATGCTGAAACTTTTTAAAAACACTGGTAATGCACTACAGGTCAGTCAGTATCGCTAAAGACAAAAGGAAGTCTTTATCATTCTATATTTGCATCTTCCACCAGAAGTGAGGACAGGAAGTTGATGGGCATTTTAGAAAGATTTGGGAAAATAGACAATGCAGCAGAGAGGGAAGTACCAATAGAAACATTGATCACAGACTGGAATCTACTGAGTTAAATAAACTTCAAACAGAAAATCGTCAGAGAAGGTCATCAGTGAAATGATGTGGAGTCAGAAAAAAATACCTAAGGCACTGGCTAGGACCACCATGTGTATGCAAACTTCCAATATGATTTGCGGTATTTTAAAGTATTGTAAATAAACCTGCTGTGTACTTAAAACTACTGTCATCTGTGTATTCAAAAACCAAAACAAAAATTCCTGAAAAGCTCACTGGGTCTGGCAACGTCTGTGGAGAAAAATCAGAATTAACGTTTTGGGTCTGGTGACTCTGTTCTGAAGAAAGGTCACTGAACCCGAAACATTAACTCTGATTTCTCTCCACAAATGCTGCCAGACCCGTTGAGCTTTTCCAGCAATTTTGTTATTGTTTCTGATATGCAGCATCCATAGTTTTTTTTGTTCTAATAATGATCTCCTCTGATTTATATTCTATTGTGTCGACTTTATATGAAGTAAGTAATTTCGTTGCCGCTGCTTCTTCAAATTGCAACAGAACAGTTCCCGTTTAAGTTCCATGTTCAAGATTTTATTGTATATACATGGCACCAATTGCATTACACACTTTTTACATCCTCAAAAAAGGCTCGTATGTTCTCAGATGCTAACGGAGCCGAGCGAAAGTATCCAATCTTCTTACATAGCGTGTCGCATGACACGGAATATTAATCTTTTTACATTTGTTAAATATGAAATTTAAAAATTAAGACAGCAAAAATATCAGGAAATGTACAGTCAACTTGCTATGAGTAACACTGTTTCTTTTCATCATGACTGAAAGACCACAAAACAAATTCCAGACACAAAAACTGGACAGAAATGTCTTTCTGTTGTTGGTGCAAGAGTTGAAAGCAAAGACGTACCCAGTACCACATGTATTCCTTGGAATGGAAATTCTGAAAGGAAAAGCTGCCTTTTTACTTTCTGTTATTACCTGAGCTCTCCAGAGTCTCTTTCTGTTGCTAAAACGGACTCATGGTACACATCTAATCATTCACAAATATGACCAAGTCGTTAATGGAAACGTATCCCCCCAATACTGTCGGTGCGAGATTTTTTGTTTAATGAACCGTTCTGCCTCTCTCCAGAACCTGCAGAAAGACCTTTGCAGTGCCATGCTCAAAATTAATCTGCTGTGTGAGCCTTCACTTAAAGAGAAAACCAAACGTGGATGCACAGCTTGGGAAAATAATGTTGCCCCAAGCAGAGGCTAAAGGGCTCAGGGTGGGGAGCTTGAAAATCCACAGACCAAGCTCGCAATGGTTCTGCCAGATCCCTGCTCACCGCTTGCCTCCCGTGCTGACCCAGCCAGAGATCAGGACTCCATATTCCGGTGGGATCTAGCCACCAGGTGACTCCTTGGGCACATATCAGTTTGGGCATCACCCCTATGAAACCACAGGGCCTTCTGAACCAACCATCCAGCCGGTTTTTTAAAGGGATAAGCAGCATTCCTGCGCAAATGAAGATGTCTCTGCAGCAGGAAAAGTCATGTTCTCTGTGCAACAGAGCTCCAACAGTCATCTTCATGTACAAATTGGGGAGGTGATTGTGGTGGGGGGGCATGCACCATGACACTAGTCTTCAGTTAAAGGCCTAACCGGCAGTTCCTAAAGAGAAGCCTGGAGGCCGCTCTAATTAAATAGCCTTGGAATTTTATATGGTTTGAGTGGGTGGATGGGGAAATTTTCTGGATTAACTGCTTTTGGTGTGAAGAAGTGTGCGTTTCTTGTGCCTCAGGGATCAGTGTTGGGACCGCAATTATTTACAATTTATATAGATGATTTGGAGTTGGGGACCACGTGTAGGGTGTCAAAGTTTGCAGATGACACTAAGATAAGTGGCAGAGCAAAGTGTGCAGAGGACTGTGAAACTTTGCAGAGGAACATAGATACATTGAGTGAGTGGGCAAACAATGTAAATAAATGTGAAGTCATACATTTTGGTAGGAGTAATAGTAAAAAGGATTATTACTTGAATGGTAAAAAGTTGCAGCATGCTGCTATGCAGAGGGACCTGGGTGTCCTTGTGCATGAATCACAGAAGGTAGGTCTGCAGGTACAACAAGTAATTAGGAAGGCAAATGTAATTTTGTCCTTCATTGCTAAAGGGATTGAGATTAAAAGCAGAGAGGTTATGTTGCAGCTGTACAAGGTGCTGGTGAGGCCACACCTGGAGTACTGTGTGCAGTTTTGGTCTCCTTACTTGAGAAAGGACGTACTGGCACTGGAGGGGGTGCAAAGGAGGTTCACTAGGTTGATTCTGGAGTTGAGGAGGTTGGCTTATGAGGAGAGACTGAGTAGATTGTGACTATGTTCATTGGAATTCAGAAGATTGAGGGGGGATCTTATAGAAACATATAAAATTATGAAGGGAATACATAAGATAGAAGTAGAGAGGATGTTTCCACTGGCAGGTGAAGCTAGGACAAGAGGGCATAGCCTCAAGATTAGAGGGAGCAGATTTAGGACTGAATTGAGAAGGAACTTCTTCACCCAGAGGGTTGTTAATCTGTGGTATTCCTTGCCCAGTGAAGTGGTTGACGTTACTTCAGTAAACGTTTTTAAAGATAAGGTAGGTATTTTTTTGAACAATAAAGGAATTAAGGGATACGGTGAGAATGCAGGTAAGTGCATCTGAGTCCATGAAAAGATCAGCCATGATCTTATTGAATGGTGGAGCAGGCTCGAAGGGCCGGACGGCCAACTCCTGCTCCTAGTTCTTATGTTCTTCGCACTATGGATTCGATCTCGAGGAAAATCAGTTGGTTCAGGGCTAATTTCCTCACTGACGTGGTCATTTTGTTTTGGAACATGCTGCCTCAGCCAAGCACGTCGTCCACTCTATTTCAAATACGAATTGGGAACAAACACCCTGCATCTTTTAGAAAGTCTTAGCCATATTGAACCTTGGACATGTGTGATGACATGTAGGGGGAGCAAATGCAACTTCTGGGTGACCATGTCACAGAGTGAGAAAAGAAACAGTAAAAAAAAACAGTAATACTTAGAAAGGAGCTGATTGGACCAGTTTGCATAATTTATAATTATTACCAGCTTTTTCCTTCTCTGCCAGATGGAAGTAAACTGAAGCTGAGCACCACATATGCAGGAGGGTGAGTTTGAGTTGCCAGCGGCAAATCATATTTTTGCGAGTAACACCGCTCATTCTGGCTCAACAAAAATATAAGCTTTGCAGTGTTTATCAAGAGGCATTTCAAAGAGGCCACTCAAGACCTAAGTCAGAGACTTGTGTCCGAGTGTTGCTTCAGGATTCTACAATCGCTGTTGCTCTCCATTTGCACAATTGAATGGCCTCGTGCCTGCATTGGGAGGGGTAGGCAGATTGTTCATCCACTTGCAAGCCCAACTGAGTGTGGTATTGGGTGGGTCGCCATAACACCATAAGATATAGGAGCAGAATTAAGCCATTCAGCCCATCGAGTCCACACTGACCCTCCAAAGAGCATCCCACTCAGAACCAAGCACCCACCCTATCCCCATAACCCTGCATTGACCATGTCTAACCCATCTGCCCTGCACTATGGGGCAATTTAGCATGGCCAATCCACCTAACCTGCACATCTTTCGACTGTGGGAGGAAACTGGAGCATCTGGAGGAAACCCATGCAGACATGGGGGGAACACAAAAACTTCAAACAGACAGTGTCCCAAGAATGGAATTGAACCCAGATCCCTGGTGCCTGTGAGTGTCAATCACTGAACCACCTCACTTAATCATGGCTGATATGTTTCTCAAAACCATTCTCCCCTAACCCTTGATTCCCTTACCAACCAAGAACCTATCTATCTCTGCCTTAACTACACTCAATGACCTGGCCTCCACAGCCCTGTGTGGCAATGAGTTCCACAGATTCACCATCCTCTGGCTGAAAGAATTCCTCCTCATCTCAGTTCTAAAGGGTTGTCCCTTCACTCTGAGGCTGTGCCCTTGGGTCCCAGTCTCTCCTACCAGTGGAAACATTTTTCTCCACGTCCACTCTATCCAGGCCTCTCTGTATGCTCTAAGTTTCGTGGGTCATAGGCGTCAGTGGGGCAGCTCCGCTATACCCTACTTTACAACATCTAGCTGCTTTTTATTTTGGTGTAGCCATGAGTCCATTCTCTCAGCTGTGGTTTCACGGATTTTATTCTCTTGTTTCCAATATAACGTTTGATCGACCTTTAAACTGAAAGCCTAATTGTGGAAGTATGATTCTCAAACAGGCCAGAATCCTTAGCTACTGTTTCACCTGGGGTCTACCTCCATTTCCCATAGAGTTGGCTGTCTTGACTCCAAAAGAGTTTTGTTGTGCTTCACTGAACAGCTCATTGCTTGGTGTTAATACACTCATGTCCTGATTGTGATACAAAGATATTTACTTCAGCGATAAACAATACTGATTCGGGTGGGGCTAAGGCTATTTTTTTTGTTGTGCTAGCTCAGTTTAATTTTGCTTTACACCAAAGTTGAATAATCACTTCAAACCAGTTAATGTTTGGACATTAACTGGAAAAGATTGTATAAGTTGTGCATCAGGAGACTGTGCATAAATTACAGATTAATAAGAAACTAATTCTTAAATTGTATTTAATGGACACAGCAAATGAGCATTTGGAATGAGAGCACCCTATCAGAGAAGTTGATGATAGAAGGATTTTATCCTTCTCTCTAAAGTGCCTGTCACATCAGTTGTTGGGCGAACAGTTTGAATTTCCGACTTTATATTACTGAATTTTTACTCCTTGTTGATTTTCAGCTGCAATGTGAGAAATAGAGGGTTCTTGATTCTGTCAGGCAATTCATTATCAATGGGCAATGGAGCTCCGCATTTACTATGAACAGCTTTTGAGCCTTGTCATGATGGGGCAGGAAAGGGTTGCGTTGAGGTGATGGCATGAAGCTGTCTTCTGAAGAAATGGGGGAGATTTGGAGGTTAGCTTTTCATGTTCTTTTGTTGAAGTCCACATTAAAAATCACAAGCCAGCGCCTTTGTCTGCTGTCCCTCCGCAGTTGGCAGAAACTGATCTTGCTCCGGTGGTTTCTTCACCCACGTGCCCAGGTCGGCTTTCCGCAATGCTTTAAACAGCTGCCGCTTGGCTGCCTGGTAGGGCTCGGCTGCCAGTTTGGCTTCGCAGTACATGGATGGCGCTCCCTGAAGGTTCGAGCCTCGTGTACTCAGCTGTGGAGGGGAACAGAACAGAACGAGTCAGCCGGCGCAGGCAAGAGACTCAAACAGATGTGCAATTTCCACATTTAATTTCTGCAAGCAGTTTCCCGGCTTGCACACCTTGTGGCCTTGTCTGCTCCCCATGAAGGGTTTCATTAAAAAAAAGAGCATTAAAATAACGATGTGAGTCTGGTCACTGCTGCTGCTGGTGCAATAAATTGCTAGAAGGCATTCGGATATGAAGATTAAAACTCCAGCTGTGCAAAAATTGAAATGATTTTAAAGAAAGCACAATGTAGGCTGAAGTGTTTCCAAAAATACATTCCTTTGTCATTCTAATGTTTAATGTAAGGCTTCTTCAATACTAGATAGGTCTGGTTTAGTTGTCGATATGTAATCACTTCACATAGCCCAATACCGAGGCATGTGTCACTGGGTTAATCAGACTTTAGCCATTGACAAGCTAGAGTCTGGCAATATCTAACGAAGCTGTGGATTTTGGTGCTGTGCTGAAGGTTGATAATACGTTATTAGTATTTGGGAACTTCGGTAATAAAGTAGAGGTGAACGGATTTTGGGTCTTAGTTCTGTGAAGGTGCCTTGCTTTTTTTAAGGGTCAGAAACACTTTTTTAAAGCAATTAACAGCATTTCCAAGAAATCATGAGATGAAGGTAAATGATTAGACAAGCTACCGAGTGAAGTCATTGCTGAAGTTTTATTAAGTTGAAAACAGTCCATATTATAGAGGGGAGGTTCTGATGGTCTTAATAAACATAAAGGTGGCTAAATCTCCAGGACCTGATCAAATGCATCACAGGATATTATGGGAAGCTAGGGAAGAAATTGCAGGGCCCCTAGCAGAGATATTTGTATCATCTACAGCCATGGGTGAGGCACTGGAGAACTGGAGGATGGCTAATGTTGTGGCTTTATTTAAGAAAGGCTGTAAGGAGAAACCTGGGAACTATAGACTGGTGAGTCTGACTTCAGTGGTGGTAGGTTGTTGGAGGGGATTCTGAGAGTTAGGATTTACATGCATTTGGAGAGACAAGGACTGGACAGGGATATTTAGCATGGCTTTGTGCAAGGGAAATTGTATATCACAAACTTGATTGAGTTTTTTGACAATGTGACCAGAAAGATAGATGAGGGCAGAGCAGTAGACATTGTCTACATGGACTTTAGCAAAGCCTTTGACAAGGTTCCACATGGTGAACTGGTTAGTAAAGTTAGATCACATTCAGGGGTTCAGGGAGAGCTTGCTAAATGGATACAAAATTGGCTTGACAGTAAGAGACAGAAGGTGTTGATGGAGGGTTGTTTTTTGGACTGGAGGCCTGTGACCAGTGGTACTCCATAGGGATTGCTGCTAGGTCCACTTTTGTTCATCATTTATATAAATGATTTGAATGAGCATTTAGGAGGTATGGTCAGTAAGTTCACAGATGACACCAAAATTGGTGGTATGGTCAATAGTGAAGAAGGTTATCTAAGATTACAAGAGGGTCTTTATCAATTGGGTCCATGGGATGAAGAGTGGCAGATAGTGTTTAATTTGGATAAATGTGAGGTATTGCATTTTGGTAAAATGAACAAGGGCAGGATTTATATAGGTAATGGTACCTGGGTAGTGTTGTTGAGCAAAGAGACCTGGGAGTTCAGGTGCATGGTTCTTTGAAAGCTACATCACAGGTAGACAGGGTGGTTAAGAAGGCATTTGGCACACTTGTCTTCATTGCTCAGACCATTGAGTATGAGTTGGGAAGTCATGTTGAGGTTGTACAGGACATTGGTGAGTTCTGGTCACCCTGTTATAGGAAGAATATCATTAAATTGGAGAGAGTTCAGAAAAAATTTACAAGGAAGAAATTTACAAAAATTTGCTGGGATTAGAGGGTTTGAGCTATAAGGAAAGGTCGGATAAGCAAGGACATTTTTTCATTGGAGTGTAGTGGGTTGAGGGGTGACCTTATACAGGTTTATGAAATTATAGATTAGGTGAATAGCAAAGATATTTTCCCTTTGCTAAGGGAGTTCAAAACTAGAGGGTATTTATTTTTAAGGTGAGATTAAAAAGGATCTAAGGGGCAAATTTTTCACACAGAGGGTAGATTGTATGTGGAGAAGAAGTGGTACATGCAGGTACAGTTACAATATTTAAAAGACATTTGGACAGGTACATGAATAGGAGAAGTTTGGAGGGGTATGGGCCAAATGCAGGCGAGTGGGACTAGTTTAGTTCGGGAAACTTGGTCAGCATGGATGCGTTGGACAGAAGGGTCTGTTGCTGTGCTGTAGGACTCTATAAGTTGAGTTTTAATGTCTATAGAATGAGAAGCCAGAGGCCTGAAGCAGGTTCAGCAGAAGAGAAAGATCTGGACCAGCAGCAGGGCAGTTTAGTTTCAGCAACATCCAGGCCATCAAAGCTGGAAGGGAACATTAAGCTAACCAGGGTAGGACTTACATAGTCAATTATAGGGGCCTGGGGATTGTTATAGAACAAAGAGAGAGAGGGGCAAAAACAAAGTTGCTGGAAAAGCTCAGCAGGTCTGGCAGCATCTGTAGAGGAGAAAACAGAGTTAACGTTTCGGGTCCAGTGACTGAGCTTTTCCAGCAACTTTGTTTTTGTTCCTGATTTACAGCATCCGCAGTTCTTTTGGTTTTTAAAGAGATAGAAGGGTACAGGTTCATAGCTCTTGAAAATGGCATCACAGGTAGACAGGACAGTGAGGAAGGTTTTTGGCATGCTAGCTTTAATCAGTCAGAGCACTGAGTATTGGAGATGGGATATCTTGTTGCAGCTGTACAAGACGTTGGTAAGGCCACATTCGGAGTACTGTGTGGAGTACTGGTCACCCTACTATAGAAAAGATATGATTAAACTAGAAAGAGTGTAGAAAAGATTTACTAGGATGCTACATGGACTGGTAGGTTTGTGTTATAAGGCGTGTTAGTTAGGCTGGGACTCTTCCCTGGAGCGTAGGAGACTGAGGGATGATCTTATGGAGGTCTATAAAATCATGAGAGGCATAGATAAAGTAGATAGCTGACACCTTTTCCCCATGGTAGGGGAGTCTAAAATGAGAGGGCACAGGTTTAAGGTGAGAGGGGACAGATACAAAAGGGTCTAGAGGGGCAACTGTTTCACACAGAGGGTGATAAGTTGTCTGGAACAGGTCTCCAGAGGTAGTAGTGGAAGCGAGTACAATTTTGTCATTTAAGAAAATTGAGACATGTACATGGATGGGATAGGTATGGAGTAATGTGGACCAAATACAGGCAAATTGGACTAGTTTAAATAGTGAAAATGGGTTGGCATGGGCCAGTTGGGCCGAAGGGGCTATTTTCATGCTGTCGACCTTTATGACTCTATGACTCTATTAAGCTGTTTTACCGGTCCAAGTACAGTAGTTAGAACTGGCAAAATCCTGAGGATTACTCAGAGTTCAGTGAAAAAAAATTAGTGATTTCACCTGTGTGTCTTGGGGGCACACTAATTGAAAGACCATAAGACCAGAAGATATGGGAGGAGAATTAGTCCATTCGGCCCAGCAAATCTTCTCCACCATTCGATTATGACTGATATGCTTCTCAATCCTATTCTCCTGCCTTCTCTCTATACCCCTTGATTTCCTTATTAATCAAGAACCAAGCTATCTCTGTCTTAAATATACTCAATAATTATAGCAATGAGCTCCGCATATTAACCACCCTCTGGCTGAAGAAACTTCTCCTCATCTCAGTTCTAAAGGGTTGTCCCTTTTACTCTGAGGCTGTGGCCTTGGGTCCTAGTCTCTCCTACTAGTGGAAACATCTGCTTCACGCCCACTCTATTCAGGCCTCTCAGTTTTACATAAGTTTCAATGAGATCCCACCTTATCCTTCTAAACTCCATTGAGTATAGACCCAGAGTACTCAACTACCCTCATGACAAGCTCTTCATCCTGGGATCATTCTTCTAAACATCATCTGGACCTCCTCTAAAGCTAACACATCCTTTCTTAGACACGGGGCCCAAAACTGCTCACAATATTCCAAATATGGTCTTACCAAAGCCTTGTGCAATCTCAGCAGTACGTCTCTGCTCTTGTATTTTAACCCTCTTGAAATGAACGCTACATTGCATTTTCTTTCCTAAATGTCAACTGAATCTGCATGTTAACCTTAAGAGAATCCTGAACTAGGACTTCCAAGTCCCTTTGTGCTTCAGTTTTCAGAAGCTTATCCCCGTTTAGAAAATAGTCAATGCCTCTATTCTTCCTATCAAAGTGCATAATTTCACATTTTTCCCACATTGTATTCCATCTGCCACTTCTTTGCTCACTGTCCTAGCCTGTCCAAGTCCTTCTGCAGCCTCCCTGCTTCCTCAACATTACCTGTTGCTCCACTTATCTTTGTGTCATCTGCAAACATAGCAACAATACCCTCAGCTCCGTCATCCGGATCATTAATGCATGACACAAAAAGTTGTTGTCCCATTACTGACCCCTGCAGAACTCTACTAGTCACCAGCGGCCATCCTGGAAAAGACCCCTTTCTCTCTACTCTCTGCCTTCTGCCAGTCAGCCAATCCTCTATCCATTGCCAATACCTTGCCCCTAACACCATGGGCTCTTATCTATTCAGCAACCTCCTGCGCAGCACCTTGTCAAAGGCCTCCTGGAAATCTAAATAGATGATGTCTACTGGCTCTCCTTTGTCTAACTTGCTTGTGACCCTCTCAAAGAATTCGAACAGAATTATTTGGCATGACCTCCCCTTGATGAAGCCATGCTGACCCAGATTTATTTTACCATGCATTTCCAAGTACTCTGCAATTTCATCCTTTGTAATGGACTCTAAAATCTTACCAACAACCAAAGTCAGGCTAACTGGCCTATCATTTCCTGTCTTCTAACTCCCTCCCTTCTTAAAGAGGGTTATTACATTCGCCATTTTCGAGAACCTTGGCACCCTCCCTGACTCCAATGATTCTTGATAGGTCAGCACCAATGAGAGAATCACATCTGGT